CATTTCCGATAAGGCCAATTTACCAATCTCTTCCATTGAGGTCTCCAAGCGCCTTCAAACCATGCGTCATACATACTCCATCTTATCCATATCAGATTAGCTAATCTATTATATCGCTGTATTTTTTCGGACTATGATAATTTATTTGCCCATTTATCACCGATTATTTGCATAATTCACGCTTCAACTAACTTTGTGTCCATTTGCATTAACCTCTGCATTTCAGACAGAGATGCTGATTTCCTCCTATCAGCGACTTCGGAAGGCCTGGATCCAACAGACTCGCACTGCTGCAGGTCTCTTTGATGTTCCGATTTCACCCGACACACGCCTCGTCCAAGAGGTGGACCTGAAATCGGCGGCTTGCCCTAGTCTCTTCGGTTGCGGCATTGGCAAATTAACTTCCTCCAACAGTCACCAGCTTCTTCCTCGCCTCTTTATCCCACAGCCCGTACGCGCCCTGCCCAACCACCGAGACTCCGGTCATCCTCTTGGCGGGACAGAGTCTGTCGATTTTGAGCTCTCCTCAGAGTTGTCGGTGCTCACCTCAGGGGTCAGGCCTTCTTGCGAGTCCATCGATGCCCTTGAGACGGGCCCTTCAAAGAACAAGCGGCTTCAGCCCGCGATGAAGCCTCAGAAAAGGGAGGCGATGTCGTTTTACCTTTTGGATACCAGCACTTGCGACCCCCCTGAGCCCGCATCTACTGATGGCGTCAACGATTCAAGTATTTCTACCTCCATTGGCTTCCGTCCGACCTGTCTCCGTATTGCCTCAACACCAGGCCGGAGAGCCTCAGCTCTCAAGGCTCGCCACCCGAATGAGCTTGGTACCAGTCCAGGATCGAGCCTCGGTGTTGGCCCGGCAACCACCAGCTCAGCTGCAAGCTGTTGCTCTAGTCTGGGTCAGGATAGTAGTATGGCCTGTCTAGGTGACCAAGGGGCCAGCGGCCCACTACAATTGGTCCGCGGCGGCGAAACTACTGAAAGACCCAGCACGGCCCCGCAGCCCGACTGTGCAGCTGGCATGTTGCAGCTGAGGGCTAGCTGCTTTCGGTTTGTATTAATACCCGATTTACCAGAATTCTTTGCTCTTCTCTCATCCCTCTTTTCTCATCTCGCCTCTCATAGAGGTAGAGAACCTTTCAATTTACCGTGTATACCAGATTGGCTTCTTTAGTGCCTCCAATTACCCCGAGTATTCTCGGGCTCTACACCCGAACACAGGGCACGACGCTAATAAAAATAAAACAACTGAATATTAACAAGCAATATGGTCAGCTTAGGTCGCTTTAGGTGATAGTTAAGGTTTTAACGTTGAAATAACTTAAAGGCCTTGCCATATAAATGAAATTCGCTTAGTCTTGCCTCTGATAAGGCTCTTTCTCTAGGCTGGATCCTCGTCTAGGTTGACAACAACCCCAACGTCTCCGAGCCTGGGTCGCCTTTGTCAAGAGCAGACTAAGACTCTATCATACAGTTTTGTTTTTTGGTAGGTGTTGGAAAGTGCACGGCAATGTCGTCGATTATAATGGCAAATATAAATTTGCCTTACCGACACTATTCCCAACAA